TGCTTGTATGGCTGCCGCGAAGACTGCCGCCTTCTTCCTGTCTTCTGCCGGATGACCGGAGCGACCGGTTCGACCCTATTCGGCGATAATTTTAAAGCTGTTAATGTCAAGGCTCACTCGTTCAATCAAGATGGAATTGTCGTTGATCGAGTGACTCGATTTTTCGGAAGATTTGAAACCGTTTTTTTTTTCTTACATTCTGCAGTTAGATTATTCGCTGATTCTCAAGGATCTTCTTGCGTGATTGGAGGTGGTTTCAGAAATTTTTATTATGACAGATTGGTATATACTTGATGAAGAGTCGTTACAATTTCTGGCCGGGAAATTTGAGAGTGCTGGGTACCTAGGAAAAATATGATAATTAATTTTTTCGAAAATTTATTTAAAAATCACTAACACCAATACCAGTAGCCACAGTCAGCGCACTGAAGGGAACTCGTAAGGGGGTTAGTAGATAAATAAATGATTTCATAATATCAACGCGGATTTCTGTATCAACCAATCGTGACGTCATCCTAAAAATAAATATTCCCAAGAACCACGAATCCAGGTAAATCCAAAAATTTTTAATCTCGAGACAAAAACTTAACGAACACATGCCCACGTGTTGATACTGGAAACCAGTAGTTGATTTAACGCTCGCTGTCTCAAGGTATCGAGACATCAAAGTGCCGAAGACCACTGAAGTAGGATAATGATAAATCCCCATTGAATCCGGTTTAATATTTATTTGAATATCCAATCTCTGTAGTTTCCTCGTCGGTCCCACGATGCGAGGTGCATGCATACTGTAGCTATCATCATCATGCACGAGTATCAGTAATTAAAAAGTTCCTCGCCAATCGCGCCCTGTTGCCATATGAATTATTTGATCAGCAAGTGGCAATCGGTGCCCAAGGAATGCTACCACCAGGAGCGAACTCCATCTCAGGTTCTCCATTCTCTTTCCCTTAGGATTTCGTACGGTGGTTATAGAGAGCAACGCGAGTGGAACGTCAGGGTGAGTATCTTTGTCCTGCTCCTACCACGTCGGAGGAGGACTGGGGTGTAGGATCCCTATTGATCTCCTCAGAACCGGAGCCAGTGGCAGAGACTAGAGACTACGGACGAACCTCAGTTGCGCCGCGGTAGGAGAGTTCGCGTTGTCATGCGCTGACTTGACGCATCATTAATGTATTACAGAATAATGCCACTGAACCGATATCCAACCTACCACTGATATCCACTAGGATCACCCGTCATTCTTAGCCATCAAACCCCATACGTATATAGCTGCGTCAAAATCCCCTGATACCGCGCACGCACGCCCCCATTATTCAAACGCTAAGGATGACGAGCGAGATCCGAAAAGTACGTCACCCTATCGTATTGCATTTATCTGAGAATCTGAAATGTCTTGATACACCCACGAGAACCACGAGAAAGACTTACGATTGCTCTTGCGTGTTCTGGGGCTGTCCAACTCTTCGATGTAACTGCATTTACTGCTAGTAGACGAGAAACAGTGACACGAGGCGCCTCTGGTGACGGGTCTGGAACTACGTTGAAGTTTCTCTATTTGACGCTAGGTGAAATTACGGAGCCTCATATTTTATGTTTGTGTACACGTATGAATCTAGATGGTTTAACACGGGTGGAGGGAACGGATATGTAGGTGGACTTTCATAGATTCCTACCGATTGTGTGACGCTGTGTACTTTCTAGAAGCGATCTATCATCTCGTTTCAGATGATATGCGGGCTTCGATCACGTTCATGTTACTTAGGCACGGACATAGTTATGTATTTATCACTATGAAAGGCGGTTGCTAGATACTCTGTTATGTATGTATGTACGTACTAAATATCTGCATATCTGTATATATATATATTTGACGAAAGGTTAAAATTTTGTCGAAACTACCATCGTTTGGAGGTTAAATGGCTCCGTCTGTGATCCTGAGTAACCTCCTACTCCTTTATAACCCAACGCCTCGTCTAAAGGTCGCACAGTATTAGGAGGTCACGTAGACCTTTTGCCCGCCTACGGATAATCGTGCGCACGGTATACCAGGACGTCTGCTCATCTCTAGATAAAAACTCACCAGATAACCACCATGTACGTATTTCAATCTACGAACGCTCCGTACGTTCCAATTGAACAGATACTTTACAAAGCGGCTTCTGGAGACTCGCCTTAAAAAAGAAAAATCACCGTGAAGTGGGACGGCTCTCTCGACACTCCTAGACCGAAAATCGTATCCAGGCGAAGCGGAACAACGAGAAGTAATTATTCCGCGATGGAATACGAAAGTCGGCCTTAGGACATCTGCTTAGATTTTTCTTTAAAAACTTACAAGCACGGCATGGCACATCGAGAATACAATTATAAATAGTATCCAGTATCCATAACGCGTTGGTCGCTTTAATTTTGGAAGTGTACCGTGCGAGGACAAAGGAAACTATATATAGAGGGGAAAACATGCTTATCAATTTTGACTGTCTAACCAACACTGTTAATCCTTACAATCCTTACTAAAATCTGATGAAAAATAGCGTTCCGAATATCATAGAAAAAGGGCACGGCTCTTACGAGCTTCCCTTCTTCTGTCAACAGATCGCGCTGTCGGCGCTGACAGGAGTCGCTCGTGTGTTTCTTTGCCAGGCATTGGCACTACTGTACCAAGATTCACCAAGCCAGTTCGGCTGTATCGACTCGCGTGGCATCGCCATTCTTTTTGGCTGTTTATAATTTTTTTCTCCCTATAGTTATTTAAAGTGTAACGACCGTGCGCATGTGTTGTTTAGCAATGTTGGCCAACAGCCTGTTACAGCCCGAGGAACGGCTATGTTGCCAAACCGCTTACCGCCGTTCTCTGCGACGGTACCAATCACTGACGGAACTACAACCCGGTGCATCCGAGGCTCGCTTTACATTCAGATTACCAAATTTCACTTCTACGATCTAGCGGAATTACATCATACGTATTTACGCCTTGGAATATATATATATATATACACATATATACATAAATACATTGAACCATTTGCATTGACGTTTCATAGGAAACATTTGTATCTAGTATATTCGTCTTCTTGAAATTCAATAACCTTATGCTCTTTTCTATCCTTTAGCCTCGCTATCGTTTGATCGATTCTCATCGAACGGAATTCATGACGTACGCTGATCTCTACCAGGCTACCGTTCTAATCGCTGGCCACTTTCATCAGGCACCCGTTTCCACAGCACTTTTGTTTGCATTTGCGCACCGATTACACTCCCGACCAGCACATCTGGTGCAAGGCCAGAACCGCAACCACAGAATGGGCTAGAACGTTGCTCTAACGAAAAATCTAAAACTCCAAACCTAACCGATAGCATTACGATCATTGGGAATAAGTGGTCGGATGACAGTAGTAATGTACCGCAGAGAGTTGACAGCGTTAATACCGTTACACGGTATCGTCTTACGCACAAGAATATTTGGAATTCGAATTACTTACCAGGAGGGTCAACGTGCCAGCGTAAATGATGCTGACGTCACTGCTTATACATACTGCAACATTTCTTGGGATTCTCATACCGTTTCCAGATACTAATACGTTAAATTTTTATTCTCTTCCACTCACGTGCAGACGACCCTCTATGTTAACCATATCACTCTATATACAAACTGTTCAACTCTAGACTGATCCAAGGACCTAGGTAGCACTGGTCAAAAAGACCAATTCAATGGTGCCCTTGGACGTGGATTTAATAACGAAACTTCAAAGACGTCGCTGCCATGTGAACCAGGCCTATGATGGTAACCAGCAGCATATTCTCCTATGGACTCGGGCCTTTTACACCAAGTCGATTATTTTAACGAAGACTCAAAATCTCCCTGTCCGACTGATGATCTGTATTATTTAAGACAAGGTCTATCCTATGTAATACGACGACGCCTAGCCTCCTCTAGAAGTTCTCTGGACATTGAAGACTTACAAAAAATGTACACTCAGACTCTCTATAGATAATTCATATGTATAATAGCATTTATATATATATTGTACATAACTATATATACATATATTATAAGCAGATGAAGCATATACTTATAAAGTGTTATTTCTAGAAGCCTATATATAGATGCTCGACTATTATATTTATATAGCGATAGTTTGGCCGAGGGAGTATATATCCACTTATTTTAGTATATAGCTATATATAGTATACCCACAGCAATGCGATCGGTTACCAGCGCTACATTGAATCGACTAATTTAAATTTAAGTGACCGCCCGGGCATCGAAACTACATAGTCATACGTATAACAGCGACTGGTCAGCCTGTCGCGAAAGATCGGCTCCCTTCGGTTTTCCACGATCGGCTACCCGTAATTTTCCTCCTCGCTACGGTCAGTCGAGCATAATTCGTCGTGGCCATGGTACGTACACGTTACACCCGGATTCGCAAACTATGCCAATCGACGTAAGAAAACGTTCACGGTGGTACAAGTAGCGCTCCCTTTCTCTGCCCCATCGGTTGGATCTCCGTATACCTGTTTCCCTCATGAAAATGTCCCATGCCAAGTTCTGCCTTGATACCTAGCACAATATACACGGGCCCCGTGCGTCTATCATTAGTATCCGGAGATCGTAAAGTCGAAGGTGTGTACAGTCGATTAAAATAGTCCGGCAGCCGGGGATAGCGAGGCTTGAATTTTCGATGGAACAAGCGTTGCGACCGATGCGAACGATTTTGCGAGTGACTGTAGCTCTTTTTTCATTTTTCATATACTCTCCTGTTTTCCTTTTTATTTACTCAGGCTCGTTACGCCCGTAACGATTTACCCGTCTCCACGGGCCACCTCGTGGGCTTCCCTCGGCTGCCTATTCAGCGAGCAAGACGTTGACATCCCACGCTCAAATTTACAGCTCTACTAGCTTCGAACAAGTGGAACGCAGAGAACGAAAATTTTCAATTAGAGTGTGACCGTCCGCTGTTTGCGATTGTTAACTCTTTTTTTTTTTTTTTTTTTAGCGATCGAGACTCCTGCGGAGACGCACTCTATCGTGTCCTCTCATCGACCTGTAATCGTTCCTGTTCCTGGTGGGGAAATACCCGGCGCGAAGGGAACGAGACTAAGAAATCAGACTGCTCTCGGACTGGCTTATCCTCGTAATCTCATCAGCCAACGACACAGACTCATTCGTCCTCAATTAAACGTCAGTCTCGTGTACGTGGAGATCCGCCAATAGGATTCCAGAAGCGTGCCCGCCCGTGTAAAACGTTTTCTATGAAAGGATTCTTTGGTGAACCGGAAACACGAGGAGACCCAACTAGCGGCAGTGACTGGGCAAAGCTATTTAAGATTAGAAGGAAGTGCGCAGGAAGTCGAGGAGGAAGGGTCGCCCGCTCACAAATGCCGGCGCGGCCTTGCGCTGTGAACGAGCTTTGGTTTAAAAAAAAACAAAAAAAAAGCGTTTTGAACGCAGGGCGAGATATTACAGCGTATCTATTAATAACTTTAAATGCGAATGGCACGATCTACCGTTTTAGTACATTTACGCGCTTCTTCAAATTCCTTAATGTTATTTTCGACCTTACCGTCCTGAGCACGCTTTGAGCTAATTTTAACCATTATAAAAAGACGTCGTAACAGAGAAAATAATTATAGGGCATTATCTCATACAGCGAACTACAGTTCCTTGCTGTACGTAAGAGCAACGTGTACGCGGCACGTACCAATAGCGAAAATCTCGAGGTTAACAGCGAATCTTTTGAGAGAACCGTTCCGCATCCACGCAGCGATTCCGTAAACGTTCCTGGGGATTCGTCGCGGCAGTGCGAAAGTCGAAAACATTGCATTGCGAACGGTGAAACGTGCGTGGCAGCCTTGCGGACTCTCGGTTCTTAAAATACATTGCCAGTGCTTATACACGAAATTATTTTAAAGCTTGTGCTAGATGGATACGCATCCTCTCGTTATTCCATGAACTATACTTATTATAAGTAAGGGTATGTGCATAAGGTACAGAGACAAGGCGGGAAATTTGAAATATTTCTAAGCAGTATCATTTCTTTCACGAAGACGTTCCTATCTGACGTATTATAAATTCTTTACCGGCGTCTTCGTTGGATGGTTATCTAGGTAATGCTAATAGGAAACGCAATGGTGCATTATGGCTGTTGGTAGGACACAAAAAAATAATAATAGAGCAGTCGGGTCACTATGGCGACATTATCCCGTTAGGCTTCAAAGTATATTTCCTACTTGTAAGTAAGGACGACGCCCGTGCAGAAATCTACGCGTAGCAATGACCCACAAATTAGTACTTAGACGCCATCTAACAGTTAATTCACAGCTGACAGAGACGCGTATCGACGCCCAGTCTGTAGTATGTATTTAGTACACACTAAATACTTGTATAATAACTGGTTTGTAAGAGAAAAGAATTTATCAAGGAATTTCAATGCACCACGCGCGACCGTAGTCCCCCTGGAACCCTTTAGAAGTAAGAAATATGTACTGTCAGACATTTTTGAAAATTGCTTTTCTTCCTTAGACACGAGGAACACAGACGTTAAATATAGTGGCATTTTTTTCCTCGGTAGTTACGAGTATTTCGGTGCAGGCTTATGTTTCCCATTTGAAGGGTGCCCTAAATTATCCTGCTTTAACACCCAGGTTCCCGAATTAGCAGGCCCTTACGCGAAGAAGGCCCCACCTTTGCAGGCAGACAATAATATTGACAAACTCGAAGTAGACGTGACGACACCCGCTCGGCACGGTTACATTGTCGATGAATTTCTCGGTATAGATCGTTCCCAAGATCTGAGCTGACTGCCTAACCCCCACCCAATGGTAGCTACGTACCTGAAAGTTCATAGTCACCCTGTCTTCCTTCCGTCCTGAAAACAATTTTAAAATAGTCGTAAACTCTCGTCGACCTCATGTTTGCCGCGTTAACCTCACTCATTGTGTCTCTGCGACGATCCGCTCGCTCTGTCTAGCGGTTGGGTTACCTATATACAGGTATACGCGCCGTATCGAAGCTAAAGGAAGGACCTGCCATTTTCATCGAGTCCTACAAGGTTGTAGCCACTGAAAAATAATCCACTAGATTCAGCGAGTTAACCTGAGCACGACTTTCGCTGCTAGTCAAGGTATTTTCTATCTAACCTAACCTAAGTTATATTAACCAAGAAGCAACCGTTCAAACGTAAACGCTTTTCCCGCGTTTTCAGGACAGATCCAATGGGACTCCGTTGTCCCAGTGGAAAACAGCTGTCTCGTCGCGAAGCAGCCAGTAGCTCGCAAGGAGAACGGAAAAGGTTAGCGAAGCATAATAAGCCAAGGCAACCGAATACTGTCCGACTCTACCGCTTCATTCGAACGTTCGTTCGTTTGTCCGTTCGTACCATCCGCACATCTGGTCATCGCTCCCGCCTCAGCTATTCGTAGTCACCATACTCGCTACTACCTACCTACAACACTACCTACCCCTGGTGAGATATATAAACCACTCGCGAGAACAAACCACATTGTTTCATTGTCGTGTAATATATTGTTTTCTAATAACTATTAGGTATGGTTAGGTCTGTTAGAGAAGAATAGCAAATAGTTATGGGGGAAATATCGGTGAACTAGAATGGCTATGGTTATTTGTTGACAGCGATGGGTTATGAATAATCGAAGTTTTGTTACGTTTTATATTTATAGAAAAAGGTTAGGTTATCGTAAACGTAATACTCGCTCGTTTCCTTTACTAGGTACGGGTATAGTTTATGCTTTAAAATCGAATATGGATGTCCATTATGCTCGCCAGGGAATCAATAGTACTTCACACACAAAGCATCATCGACCTGACGCAACGCATAAATCAATGCAAAAGTTGGGAGACGCATCCGCCCAGGGAATTATTAGACGATGTCAATAGATATGAAAATGTTAATAGTAATTTGTACAGGAGCGATACAGGTGAAGATTCGGTAAGTGAGGAATTTCCAAGAGTTCCGCATTGCCATCGGCGACAGATGGCTGCTCGCGCAGAGGACGTTCGATTTTCGTGAATTCGGGCCACTCGATATCGATCGATCGACATTGCAATGTCTGTCGACAAAACCTCGTCCTCTCGCATGCGTTGGATCTTGTCCAAAAGAGAAATACAGCCTGTTCCGTGATCGATGACTATTTAATCGTTAGGACATGCGCCTTCTTACTTCAAGCTTTTATCGATCACGTGGCCAAACAAAAAGCCAAGATATCGCTCGCGACGCCGCCATCTAAGGAAGAGGAATCAAGATCGAAGACAAATTTGGATCGAAACGATCTCTCGGTAGATCCTCCCCACGATCGTATAATTGATCACCGAAATAGCGAGACGTCTGTAACTCTATAGACGATCCCTGAGAGTAGGCAGGTGGCGCCCCCACGTTAAAACGCGGCAATTTCAACGTTAATGATCCATACGTTTTAAAAGCGGTACGGACGTTGCACAAGGAAGATTTAACGGGAGGCAGAAAGGGAATGAGATATCATGCAGGATGTGAGTGCATAATAAGTTAAAAAATGTTCCTCTGTATATCGCTGTCATTACGTGTGAGAACCGTGAACCGTATTGAATATTAAACCAATAAACAGAAGGACCAGTTACAGATGGTCGGGGACACTTGGCAACGCCGCGTCAGGGCAGTCTCGTTCGCAGTGGCGCTTTGCCGTAGGGGGAGGAAGCTATGGCAGCAGGGTTGCAATGGTGGGGATGAGAACGAGAAACTGAGGGGTGGGGTTGAGCGTGTCTGGAGGGGATAGAGCACAAGTACAGTGAGTACTATGAGCAGCTCGAGTCGTGCGAACGTACGTATTCATCTACTGGGTGTCCCGAATTTTCAACGAATGACCTCCACGGGGTGTCTGCGGCACCCTTAATCGACGCGACGTTCCTGATTCCTCTGCGTGCCTCATTCGTCCCCGCTCGGCTGACTCGCAGCCCTTCTAGAACGTTCGGTGCTGCCGCCTACCGGGAAGAATTTCTAACTGACGCGGTCGAACCCTCAGCGCGCAGGAATTTCAAAAAGCTACAAAGCCGTGCGGCCCCAAGCTATCCGTTTGTTTGTAAAGGATATACGATGATACCTATTAGGAAGGAGCCACGTTTTGACAGCGATATCCATCGTCCGGGAAATTTGCGGATATTATTCTTGTTCTAAATTAAGATCCGTTTGGACCATCGTGGAAACATTGACGAATAGACAGGCTAGCAAATAGCCCTCGTTTGAAGTTTCCAAGGCCCTGAGTATTCTCCGACGCTGCTGTATACGTGATTAAAGTGGATGCGTTTTTCAGATTTCCTTTCAGGCTAATCACCTACGTCGTATAACCTTACAGAAGCCCCCTGGATGTATCAGCACGTGCGCCTATGTGCTATTCAGAATGAGTCGCGCGACTCCACCTCCGACCGACCGAGTACATATACTCGATTTAGTGGTAGGGTCTTGGGGAAGGGCGCGGAATTCAAACTATTGACTCTCGGCTGCATGGACGGTAGGAAGGTGCGCGCGAATACCGCGACCTCTTCTCCCCGACACCATTCAGACGTTTCTCACATCGTCAGCGGCCGCCTGCATCCGCTCAGGCCGGAGACCTTACACGAGTGTACGTGGCGCGTTCAGCAAAACTTGACGATTCCCTTTTATCGGGCGAACGGTTCCTTGGACAAAGGAAATCCCATACCGGTGGGCATCCCACCGCGCGTGTACTATACACTCGGAGCGAGAACCAACTATATACACATGCTCGCACGTATTTAGCTGTCACAGAACTCACAGATGATCTCTCTCATATACCATAGCCACACGGTATACCTATATAGAAGCCTAACGGCAGCAGGTAAAACCGCCTTAAGAAGTTTGTTTGATTCCTCGTCCTTGCAAGCCACCCTGTATTGTATACAAGCGACTACACTCCATAGTGGAAGAGCCATGAGGACCATTGGTGGCAGAGTTCAGAGAGCGAGAGAGAGTGAGACAGAGACAAAGAGCGAGCAAGAGGGACCGAGAGGGGGGCGGGCGCGCGCGCTTACCGTATCGAGTCGGGGATGGATGGTGGATCCGACAGTGGCGTAAGGGGCCGCCGTGACTGTAGGCAAAGAGAAGTAGCAGGGGGCATGAGGCCATGGCACTTGGGGCAAGGGAGATCAGGGAGGGATCGGCCGAGGTAGAATGGTAAGAGGGGCCTGGTGAGATGGGAGGGCGTCGGCGTCGGCGTCGACGGCAGCGGCAGCGCCAGTGGCAACGATACCGACGGCGTCCAAAGGACGCGTGGAGGGGGACGCGCGACGTCGGACAGTAGAAGGGAGAGAGGTGAAAGAGGGGGGTCAGGCGCGACGTCGATGGGAAGGTCACGCACCGTAGTCGCCACACTATTTAAATAATGTATTATTTCTATCTGGGCGCGTACTATCCCAAGACTCCCAAGAGATCCTCAAGAGATCCGTCGACTTGAATTCTCTTGGTTTCTCCTCCACCTTCTCTTCTCTCTCTCTCTCTCTCTCTCTCTCTCTCTCTCTCTCTCTCACGCTGGACCCTCCTACCTAGACTGCCTCTACTCCGCTCACTCTTTTCTTCATCTTCAACGCAGCTTACTCCACGGCGTCCTCGTGGGACGTCCTGAGGCCAGACACAACCTGACCGCCCTGAGTCAAGCCGATAGATGGATTTTGGATACTGTCATTCCTATGGAATGCAAATCGTTAATACTGGGTGACGTTGATCTAAATAAGGACCAAACCTGTCTAAACAACATCAATCGTCTCCAATGCTTTATGGGCGCTGCTATAACGATCCCGCACAGCACGTACGAGTACTCGGTGAGAATCTACAGTGATACTCAACATCGGAAATTACTTCTGGATTCCTCAGGTTCTCCTGGTGCCAGTCAGGGTTCTGGTTCTAGACCCTCTGAAATGATTTCCTTGCGACGAATCTAACTCGACGCCTGTCTCCTAGTACCTGCCTAATGGCTATGTGGTTACGTACACGTACTCCAGTTACTGTACACTGTGTATACTTTGTACGGATATACTATCCTTGTTTCACTGATGCAAGACACCGTTGAGATCACGATAGTCCGCAAGACTAAATGTCCTCGTCGTTGGGAGAAACGTTCAGAGCTTGTGTCGACTGCTTGTGCAATTGTCATGCTACTCTTATGCCAGGTGTATACTATAGTCTGTTTCTACTTCAAAAAACTCTATTCTACTTCACTACCGGTAGAAGACCCCTTTCTCGTCTCTTGTTGACGTTATTCTCAAGACCGACGCCGGCTGCGGATATTGTCGCTGAGATTTTTATCGATCCGGGAACCGTGACGTATCGATGATTCTCAATTTTCTCTTCCCACTCATTACTCAAGCTTTAATTGCCCTTTCGAGATATCCCCCAGCAAGACTTCGAGTAGCTGTTTGATATGACGCTTGATTTTATGAAATTCCAAATACGTCAGCGGCGCTGTAAATTTAATCATTTCATTTTTATACATAGTGGCAAGGTCATTCCTTGGTTCTATGTGTATACCGTTGCTATATCTGTATCGTTTTACGAACGAGAGTTTCGGTACAGGAGAAAGTAAACCGCAGCAATATCCATTGAAGCGATACCGTTCCTGTGAGAGTGGATGTAGCAACAATGACGACAGGATTCGATTTATCTGTAAAATTGAAGTTTTATTAATTTTGAAAAAAAAAACTTTTTAAATAAATTTTTCTTTTATGACTCACTTTTTTATGTACTCTGATATTTTTTAATCATTTTTTAAGGAACTCGCAACACTTTCTTCATTGAAATGATTCTGCGAGGAACAATCGATACCAAGAAAAATCAATCGATACTTCCCAATCGCGATTAGAATCCGTCGATCCTTTCACTTTATCCGTAACGAGGCGCTACCTCGTATGACAATCATAAGAACCGCCTTAAAAAGGACATTCTCCTCTCGCCGCAGTTACGTCGAAAGTCTCAGCGAGGACAGCGATCCATAACGCGGAGAGATCCATTGGCACTCTTGACAGTTTTCTCATGCCGTGGACTTTCACGTGCGCCAATCATCTCTAGCGTTTCAATCATCTCGAAGCGGAAGTGGGAAACTGAGGAAAGAGAGGGGAAAATATAGTCACGAACAATAGAAAAAACAAAAGCCAAGGATTCCTTTCGAGTTCGACGATCCTAAATTCTTTCGACGTTCAATCATCACCAATGAGATATTACACGAGCTGTCTCAGTATCATCTAGATAATTGTTCTGGCCATCTTGCGAACAACAGTGTTAACATTGATTGCGAATGGTGATCAATACCCAGTAGCGAGCTATCACACGCGCCATAAGGGTTCTATTTTCCCCACGCCATACTACGCCACGCGACACGTGAGCTTCCGTTAACAGTGGACAATGAAATTACTTCGGCACGTATCGCCCCGTATTGATCCATTCGCCACTATACTTTAAGCAGTCCGTCACGCAGTTTCCAGCCGGTGACAAGTGAAGAAAAAAAATTACCGTTTCTCTCTTATCCTTTTTTCTTCTTATTGTCGGTACGAGCGCGTCTTACTACTAATCTTGTTGTTATCCATATCGATGGCTGTATATAGATATAGACACCGCATAGAGTCCTGGTGCGCACGTCGCCCAGACGCCACTGGATGGACGGTGCCTCCTACGCTCAGCATTGCAAGGTTGAGTTACGGCGCCGCCTGTTTTATTGGCTCCTCGAAGAGGCACTGCATTCTTTCCAGTTCGAACTGTACCAAAGTGCACTGAATGTACTGCCGGCATCGAGCTGGCACGCACGAGCAGTTTCGTACCGTTATTACCAGAGCTTTGTTTATTCCCCACTTCCTTCCGTGTCTCTTGAAACTATTAAAAAGATTATTTATTTATAAATACTCTTAATGTTTCTTAAAACGTGTCTTCGTCGAGTCTTACTGATCATTCGGAAATGACAGTTCACTGTTTCGATGGTTAGGATTCCGCGCGTGAGCTGTCGGTAACTGGTAAGAACTGTTTTATCGACTGTTCAAGTAGCTTAGACATTCACCACTTTAAAACGAATTCTGTAACGTACTTTCTGTCGTTCTGTCGAGTGCACGTCCTGTGTACGAGACTGAAGCGAGTTAAGCCGCGTTCTCAGACACTGCTTGGATAGCAGAGTTTCGCTTGGCTGATCTTTCGATTGCGGGAAAGTGCTCGATATACGGTCGAGCAGTACGTTCGATGCACGTGCCGCTTACAAATACTAGACGCTCCGACGGGATCTTACTAATCTTCAAGTGGCAGTTGCGTAGACATTCACATAGACGATATAATCCTCAGGAACTTCATCGATCAAATCCAATGTCTGCATAATATAGGATAAGATGTTCGTATCGTTTTCCGTAAATTTCCTACCGCTCTCTATCTCCGGTGTCTTAGAGTACTTACTCGAGAGACGTCTCCGGTGCTCGTTATGAATTCTATCTATGACGGAATACGAGAAAATTCTAGAATCCATATCTCTCATTTATGTAAGTTGTAATATCATATTTTTACCCTGCGATTACGCTATACCGGTAACTCCGTATCAGTACACAGTACAGAGGATAGCCATACGCACTTATTGCTATAGCATAGCAGTGTGTACGTGTTTATAAAGCAACGCATAAATCCTACGATTCTTTTACAACTTTCTAAATACAGCGACAGTCGATTTGCTGACCTTATTTTCCGGACAGGTTACTTTATTTACCGTGCCGTTCTGTCCATTTACAGATGCCGCAAGTTCTACTGAAATTTTTCTGCATCCTCACCAATCGCGCTGCGTCGCTCGCTCATGAAATCGTATATCCTTATATCCAAATCAGCTCGTGACCCGCACTCCCCTACCAGAACTACCATAACTGGATTCCATTGGACCTTTCTACGGGCTGGTATGTACAACAACGATACAACAGAATATATACGTATGTCTAAGATTGGGTACTGGCTAGACCGACAGCGTAGAAAGTACTTCTACTGTTCCCTCCCGGTTACCTGACAATCTTTTCACACTTTGTTAAAGTCACCAGCCGCCACCTCGCTCTGCAAACCAAACTTCGGATCGTCCGTAGAACGTCCAGCTTCAGCTAAGATGATCGACTGGATCATTATTAAGGATATATGGGTATATGGATAAAGTCAGCAAGGAGATGCCATTGCACGCGGATATCCTTGTACCAGTGATAACCCTGTAACACTTCATCCTCGAGCCTTGATCAACATAGTCACGGAGGACATGCCACCGACATACAATTAGCCGGAATACGTAGCAATTGAATTATCTCGAGCGTAATATCCGCTATTCCATGATAATGCGAAGGTTACCAAAATTATGGTAGATCCGTAATTAATTTACGTCACGCATTGCGCTCTTACGTATCATTCAGCTCAATCGCGAGGAAGCGCCATAAAGAAACATCCTGAAAAATATAACAAAATTATCATTTCTCTTTTTCATTTTTATTAACAGTACCAGTCGCCGACGGGAAGTTCATTTTTGTTAGAGTATAGGAAATTATTTTTCGACTAATAAAAATATCAAGAACGGTCCGTATGCAACCGGTATACTTCTCGCAATGCCATTATGTCTGACGGGTTGCATACGCGCAGGCACGACTAGCGTCATATACATTTTACTCGTACAGTACATTTTCATACGAGTCTATAAATCACGCACTTTGTTCCCATGGGGTAATTATCGACCAGCACATGCTCCAAGTCGCAGTATCGTTCCGCGCGGTGTAGATCTCGTAAAAACAAAACGATTTTTCTAGATACCGTTATGGCGATCCTAAGAATCGCTCGAATCCATCAGCTCGATCTACCTTCCTCGAATACGTACCAAGCGCCCGTGTGACTATTCACAGTGTCTCGCGTAACTTTGATCTACGGACAAAGAATAATTTGGCCTCTTCGCATTCAGCATCCGGTACACGGCATAGAGGTAGACCTCATACCTGGACTTACGTAGGTATAAAAAATAAGACGAAAGACAATGGCATCGGCATTCTAAGAAAAATTTATACCCAAGGCAGGTGCTCAATCTGAACGATTATCGAGAACGTGTCTGGAGGTCTCCAGAGGAATTGAGTGGAAGCTGCCTGAGGTATGAGGTGTCCGAGTTCACGAGGAGAGTACAGAAGAAGAAAAAGGATGCAGTGGAAGGTGCCCGCCTAGTGGCGAAACAAAGTGGACCGGGACAAAGTCCTGTCGACGAGTTCCTTTGATGGGATCTATGGAAAATCCTTAATCCCGGACGAGGACCTTAGCAAAGGTTAGTTGACCGCCGTGGACGCTGGTGAATCTGTTGGACAGTTCCTAGGAGACCCTGAGCACAAATTCCAAGACATTCCAAAAGGACTCCTCGTCCACCGGCTTGAACTCTACGAGTCCGTCCCTCGTTCTCATCCTTGGCTTCGTCCTTAATTCTAGTTATATACCGATATCCCATTATCCTCGAGGAATCCATATGAGTAATAAAAGGATGCAAGAGGACTCTACAAGGAAACTGTGGGAAAAGAATTAAAGAGTCGCGACGAACAAAGGAACAGGATCTCGAGGCTGAGGATGAATCACAAAGGTCCTTTGCTCTGGACAAGTTGAAAATACGGGAGGATGACAGTGCTCCGGAGCAGACAGAAGGCTCTACATCCAACAAGACCCCGTATCCACGTAACGTGCGAAGCGATCGATAGGCTAGGCGAGGACTAGTCGCTGTTGGAATAGTCCCACGAAACTCGGGGTGAACTCCCCCTAGTCATCTCTCTCTCTCTCTCCCTCTCTCTCTCTCTCTCTCTCTCTCTCTCTCTATCTATCTTGTACGCTCAGGGTACCAGAGATCCCGTGAAAAATTGATCGAGGAAGCGGAATATCGATGGTGTAAACATCGGGCCGTACTCTCAGCCTCTTCTTCCACAGGGCATGGGTAATCGTATACGAGTCTGTATGCATCTGGACTGGAGTACGTGGCACCACGGCAAGTACGCAAGTACCAACGTACAAGCGTAGCAATGTACACAAGCATGCGGCAATAGCTTTAACAGAATCGAGCGAGCGAGTCAGTGAGGGCAAAGCAAAAGCAAGTCTTGGCGAGTAACAGTGGGCGACCCTGCTGCTGGCTGCCGACAGCATTCCTACAGACACGCCGCGGACCCACACGGCACACACAATATGACACACCAGGACGCAATGTACGTAACCCAACGCAGCACAGCGCACTGCGTCACCACGGAGCCATCCGTCTGTTTATCCGTCAGTTGGTACGTATGCGCATCCACGTATGTCTAACCGTTCGGCGCTGGGCAGCCGATCGGCGTGAAACGTACGTGCTTCCTTGATGATAATCTCTGTTATTGATTCTAGAATCTTCGCCCGGAAGTACAATAGAAGTGGAGGGCCGGTGCGATGCAGCGACCCCAAATAATAGGCTGCCTCCGAACGAGACGGAAGAGCTATGTATGTCGCTTGGGCCGGAGTTAAGCAGATCGTAGTTGCCATGGCAACTCCCGTTCTCGATGAACCACTTCCGGTCTACGTCCGGGAGCCGCACTGCTCCTCCTTGGCTTTCATAACGCGTCCGTTCCTCGTCACGGCGACTCCACTACGAGTCTCCGGTGTCCTCTCCAGGTAGAACGGAAGGACCCAGTGCCAATTACGTGCCTACTACCTATGTCGTGGAAACGATGAGGATCCTGGGACACCTGGAAGGGATTTTCTCTAAAGTTTTCAGGCTATCGTGAGAGATCGACTGCGATCGAGAAATTCCGAGGGATACGGAAAAGTTAGTCCACCGTTATGGCTTATCTTTTTCTAACCTGAGCACTCGGTACGTATACTTATACTGGATACTTAGAACGGACCAGTCTACCGATCTGGTACCAGTCATTAAATATTGTTCGCGCAAGTGGAATACCGAATAGGCTATCTGGTTGACCTGCTTTCCGTATATTTCTAGTGTTCTCTAAATGCCACCGCCGAGGGAGAAAGATTAAGTTAAACCACTAATGGCAGATCATGCGAGGTAAATCAAGTAGGAACTACCGCAGTGAGATGTGCAAAAATTTTTTGTTTACTTTCTTTCTATACAATATCTATACTCCCAAGATACACCCTTGGAATTCTTCGACAATTATTTATTCGCAGAGACAAGACCAAAAGGGACTCCGATCATCCGGCTCTCCCGTGACGCTCAGGACGATGGAGCTGCGCGCGCCTGAAATAACGCAGTCGTGCGGCCGATGTCAATGATCGGCGAACGGGCCCACGAATCTGAACCGAGCACGTCCGTTTAAATGTTCCTACCTGGGAATCCTGTATCCCTCCACTGTCTCCGCATCTCGTACGCGTAAAGGTACACACGTGACTCGCGCATCTCGGTGCACCACGTCAGGTAGCGGCTGCGATGCCGAGACCTCGGTGAAAGTATGCACGACCTCAGAATAAAGTTTTGCGTACTTTAGGACACCGGTGACCTCAGGGACCCGATGACATCCACCCACCATCCATCGGACAACCTCAGCGACGAATCCAGAATGTCCCTACAAGGAAAAAGGAAAAGGATCCAAGGTCCGTTCAGTACCGATAAACATCCTGATCATACGTCAAGGTTCACTTGTCAGTCTCGACAAGGGAGCGTTCAGCAGGGTTCTCAAAGTCCGCAAGCGACTCCCTTATTCATACAGCCGGCACGTCTTCATTAACTCGCGTACGAGCCGTGGATGATTTTGCAGGATCTCCTTTCTGCCTTCTACCGGGTGGGTAGGTATCAACCAAGTATGTAGCCACTTGCATACATACGCGGCAAAATCCCACTGCGAGTGGCCCTGACTATAATACAAGCTCGGTACTATAAGATAAGCAGAGTTGCCGTTCGGTCCGCCAGCCAGCCGAGTCGTAGCTCCCACCAACAAGCGGCCCTCTTATGCCCACCTACTACCGAGCAATCCGAATGCATTCTTTCTTCCCTTCTTTCTTTCTCCATCTGGCTAGGCGTAGTGTCTTGGCACGGCGCGCCATGCCGTGGCGTTCTTCTCGGTATCTCCGTGGAGTTTTAAAGACTGTCGTGGCGGCAGGCATGAGACTCGGGACGTCCAAGCTGGGAGCATGCGTCTACGTACGTACCAGAGTAAGACTATAGGTGTATCTGTATGGACAACTTACACGAGCACGAGACTTGGACCTGAAGTGGTCTCTCGTTCCAGCTCCAGGACTGCCTCCCGTCCTTTCTTTCTTTCCCTCCTTCTTTCCCTCGCTCATTTTTTTTACTCTTCGGCTCCTCTCAACTCCTCCACCACTACTGGCACCTTCTCTCCTGAAACCTCCTCCCACTCGTTCTCTCCGTCCAGCGTTTCAGCGTTAGACCTTAAATGCCTGGCATACCTGCAAACGAACGCGTAAGTCAGCAGGACAGGAGGTGCACTTTGATACTTACGGCAATGAGACTCGAGACACTGTCGGACTTCATAGGTGCTCGCATTCTCTTGTGGGATTCAACATAACGAGAGAATCTGTCGGGAAGAATGTAGGGGTCGTTCGTCCTGGTGATATTACCCTGTGGACTAGTTCTACGCGCGTGCCTGCACTTGGTACTCTGGTAATGTGGCTTTTCTTCTTCCGATGGTAGCAGGGATACTGCGATCCTTGGGGTAGGTTTGTACTGGAGCCTACTTGATATTTTTTCAGAGCTTGGTATTTATGTCAAATAGTATTTAGGTCACTTGTAAGTCGACTTTTCTTAATTTCAATGAAAAATTTTATCCGATGAATTCGATCTGTTGTTTTCTCTTTTCGCTTGCTTTTTTTTTTACGTTTTCTTCTCTTTTTCTAGGTCTCGTGGGTCATTTCCTTGTGGGTCGCGTAATAGAGCGCGCGACCGCGGATAAAACGAGAGAATTCGTTGGGTAAGCTAAAGGCGTGCGCGATGTCGACTTCAAAATGAATACTGGGCTTGATCAAATAGAAGTGGTTAGAGCTCGCAGGAGTAATGGAAAAAAAAGAAGGATTTAGATTATGTCACCGACCAAGGCAATTCGGTCGAAATAAGAAATCGAAAATGCATTAACGTATCTTTCTTTTAAGAGTATAGGTATACACTTGGCCGGTGTCAAAGGGCCTTGTGGGCCCTGATGGGCATGTGGTGGGTAAACCGGCTTGATCAGAATGTCGGTTTGTTTCCTGTGGGTTCCACTCACCCTCGACCAATCCGATCGCTATGGAGTTTTCAAATTTTTTTTTGTTTCAACGGACCACAAGAAGCCCTTGTTCAATTATAATATAGTAATGAGAATTTCCCCGAGCGTGCGAATTTTCAGAAATCCATTAAATCCCGATAAAACACTTTTACTTTGAATTACAGCGCTTTTCTTGCACTTGACGATTCCCCATCGTCAAGGCCAACTCGTGTCTCGTCCTTGCTGTCTTATACATCGGTGAAGGTTAAATATACATTCGCCCATATTACGCGCGTATTATGCAAGGATATTAATATGCATATTATGCAATCATCATAGAATTAATAGACGAGACACATTACGCCAATATAACCTATCGATCTTGGCCTTCAGAGTTAAAATTGATAATCGTCGGGCCTCATAGAGATAAAAGGATCTAACAATTGTAGGATCGATAAAAACTTGGCGCTTGGAATTTCTTTCTCTTTTTCCACGCGCAAGAATTACCCACGAGCACCTAAAGAAAAGAACTGGTTATAATCGATGCGCCGTCAATTAACCAGTAAGTAATCGACACGCCTCCCTTAGAAAGTGCCGCTGAGTCAAGTAATACATATAGTAGGTAACGACAAACCGACATAATTGAATTCACAATTTCGCCCTGACCAGCTCGGATGAGTATCGAACCATATAAAAAAAAGATATGGACTCTCCCCACAGACTACTAGGCTGCTCTTATATATTCTTCTACCAGGTGCACTCAATGTCGGAGAGTGCGTTCGAAGAAATCAGACCGGCGTAATTTAAACTCGAGATTCCTCTCGGCGCTCTCACTACGGGTCGGGCAGCACCGCTCACTCGAAACTTCCAAAGCGTAAAACTTGACGCAGGCATCGCTCGACCTCGGTTCTCTTTTTCCTTGGCGAAGGTCCGCCCTCGCTTGAAAACAGGGCGCCTACCAACCACAACGCCAACGACAGCCACTTCTCATCTAAAGACACGTACGTCATGAAATTTTGTATCCAGTCTTTTCCCCCTCTCTCTCTCTCTCACACTCTTTCGCTCTTTCTCTCGCTCTCATTCTCTCTGTCCATCCTTGTCTTCGCAGACTATTGTAAGAAATTAGAGCATAGTCGCCGGTTTGTCGCTTGCACCACCCTCTGGTGTGAGACACTAGCATTTCACGTTGGCGGCCTGGTCGGTCGCAGGTCGTCCGGCGTCAGTACGGAACGTCACAGAACCCACTCCAGCCAACCAGCAAGCCACCTACACGTCTCTCACACCTACATACAAGGTACTCCGGGGCCGAACAGGCTATTGCATTGCGTATATACCGTGAGGCGACACGTACGCCCCTTTTCTCCTTCTCGTTCTTTCACTCGTGTTCCATAGTGCCGCTCGTGGCGCTCGAGACGTCCAGCCGCAGTCCGTACACAGCTACACCGCCATTTAAATCCATACTCCACGACGCAGTCCACCATATTATTACCATCTATAGAAATCGTTCATGAGCCAGAGGATCCTCGGCGATTTATGGTCTTACGATACACCGTGCCTTTTTCTACTCTTTTTTCTTTCTTCCTCGTCTTACTCGTCTTTCCTTCGCACCGGTATTCTTTCTCACAGTGAACGATGACGACGAACTGACAGGATTTCGAACACGAGTTCTGCCATCGGGATACAAATTTATCCTGTCTTCTATGAAGCTTCCCTTGGAGCTGCTGTCTTTTTAATATATTTTACAGCGTAAGTACTTTTTCTTCTTCTTCTTCCCTGTCTCTTTCCCGAAGTCACCGCGTTTCAGTTTTCTCTAGCCAGTGGTACGCGATAGGTACTCTAGGTGTCGTTGGAATGCGAGGGGTGACGTTCGACGTTAACTTTCTGGGATTTGTTCTTTCGAATGGAAGGACAGCTAGGTCGTTGGGCTTTCTTTTAATTATTTGATCGGCTGGCGCACATGGTCGATCGCCCATTGTCGATTTCTCTTTTTCCCTTCCACGCTCCTGAACGACTTCCACCTTTGCCAGACTCGATCTCTACGTATCTTCAAGTACTTGCTCTTAGCTATTTCATCCTCGTGGAATTTTATAACCGGTGTCGTGAACTATAGGGGAACGAGGGATCGTGCGATCATGACTACATTTAAACCTGCAAATGTTTCGGTTTCGTGACTACTCTGCCTAGCAGTAATAACGATACCGTTACTTCTTTCGAAACGGTGCAAACTAAATTGCACGTCCTGGATGAATTACGCATACGACAATTCTTCTTCGGCTGGTATTATTTATCTTCTACAATATCTTCTTAGACAACCGTACCGATAAAAAGCATAGAGCGATCCATCGCTTCTCGTTGGAAACAAATCTTAAGTTTGTGTTACTTCCATGACAAAGGCCAACGAAACCTGCCTGACGACCTGTAAAATTCCTATGAATGAGCGCAACCTCTGCCGACCGACAGGCCAACCCGAGATGGGCTGGCATTAGATTCTTCGAAGGAATTCGAAATTTTAAGGTTATTCGAAAATACTTTTTTTTTTCGAAAAATTCAAATAAAATTTTTCAGTCATTAACTAATTTTACATTGCACCAAATCTACCACAGCTCGTTCTTCTGCATAGCGACTATACGAATTTTTAATTTGACAAATGTCAAAGCTTCAATTTTTTTTTATTGAAAATGACTTGCCGATGTATACAGCAGTTCTATCTGAAATTGGTAAACTGCAAATTGATATGCCCATCTTCGATTGTCCCTCTTGAACGTAGTGGCACGGTGCGACATGCAGGTTAAACATGCTTACATCATAACCCGAATACGACACGATAGCTTGAAGAACATTAGAGTCGCGTTTAACGTTCCACGACGAAGTCACTGTTTAAATATAATTTTTCTTCGAAAAACGACGAACAGAAGAATGAACGTTACCGGAGATCGTGGCGAACGTAAATACTAAAACAAACAATACATAAACCCCAGCCGATCTGAATTGCCGCAGAGATACTCTCGATTTTCAAGGTTGTCAAAGCGTCAATATGCCTACGTACGCAAGTATATCTGCTACCTAAGTGACGTTGAAATTTCTAACCTGAATAACCGAGCCGACCGACCTCGACAAGGTGTCTCAATTTTCCAAGTGGTATGCCAGCAGGATTAACGCTCCCATAGATATCGGCTTTGCGACCCAACAGTCAATCGTACGAGCCCATTGGAAGCGTCTCGCAGTAACCACACAGTGCCTACACCCATGCAGCATACACCGGAGAGAATGATTTCTCGATCCTGGGCAAACATTTCTCCACGAGCACCTTCGCCAGCACTCGACCGAGTCATTCATCACAATAGTACTCCACAGGTACCCCGACAAATAACAGTATCCAAAAGACAGAGCTCGTGACGACCTCGAGCGATCATTTTAATAAAGCACCACATCCATAATGCATTGTCATTCCTTTAGCACTCCCGAGATGCATCCAAGATCAGTAATGACCAAGTCTACGAAAATCCTAACTCAACGCGCATCTAGATTCTTCCTGGTGCGTGCATCCACGCACCCATCGTTCCCCCCAGACATCTTCGCACGCACGTGCAGTGACGCTCCGTGGGACGTGCTCCAGAAAGTGCATCCTAGTATCGTTGACCTCCGCGCAACAGTGGGTACCGAGCGTAGCGGAGGGCCTGTCGATAGGGCAAAGTCATGGCTAGGACGTTACCAGGCGGTAGGTACTCGAAGAATTCGCAAGGTGAGACAGTAGGGAAGCGCTGCGGCCAGCCAGTCGATACAGTGGACGGAGACAAGGCTCTCCGACATAGCTCTAAGTATATAGGGGAACGTTCGCGTCAGGTGTTCGGAGTCATAACGAGTCATTGGCTCCCGATCTACCTATTGTTTCTCCGTAGGAGCCCGAATGCTTTGGAAAGGCCAACCTGGAGAGCAGGTTGACGATTCACCAAGAGAAGCCAACTGCCTCGAGGTCGGCGTCCACCCTGAAATCGGCCTCTTCGTCCTCCTCCTCCTGATCCTCGTCCTCGTACGTCCACTTCTCCTTGCTCCTCTTCGTCCTCTCCCTCCCCTCGTCCACCAGCTAGAACCTACCGAGCGGCGACCGAACAATATCTGATGGGAACCCTTTACTTTAGCGCTAGCTGTTCACATTACCTTACTTACTATACGGGGTCAATGCCACCGCGTCCGTCCCGCGGCCCCACTTCACTTCACTTGGCTTCACTTCCCTCCGCCTTCTCCTCTCTGTTCCTCCTTCGCCTCCTTTCCCTCCCTCCCTCCCCCGCTCCCCCGATGTCCCTCTCGTGGCCCTCCGTACCTCCTACGTCCTCACACCGTCGCCACCGACCGTCCGTGTATAAGAGTGGCTACGTATCTCCGTACCCTCCTCTCCTGAACAGAGAGACTCGCGCATCGCCGTCCACGTTATAAACTATTCCAAAAATTCATACTGTTATTATTATCACTTATCCATTCCCGGCGCTGGCTACAATGCACGACTTTGTTCGCTCCTCTTGCGTTCTGATCTCTGGCACTCCTGCTTGCTTGGTCTACGTAATGCTGCCGCTAGGAGAGGTCCCACGTTTCAGAAGTTACCATCGATTCACTCTGTAATAAAGCCGCAGCGTCGTATTGCCATTTGGACTTGCAGGGTATATTGGGTATTGGAATGTCAATTTTACTGTAGGTCAAATCGTTCGTCCAGTTTAGATTTATTTTACAATTTTACCTTCCTCAGCTGTAATTTGTTATTGGATCTTGTCGGATACGTATATTCGAATCGGCAGGTTTGTTTCGTGGGGGAGTTGACTTTTGGGTCTTTCAAATTTTCATCGTCTTCCCGCCTGAGCACCGTGACTCGGCGCATGCGCGCTACGTCACTTCTGCGAATGTCGTACTTGGCGAGCGACAACGCGGGAGAAAGGACCGACCAGTTTGTTTACCTCTTGCGCATTTTCGTGGTGCGCGGGCATGCAAGTGCCAGTTCGGCCGTTGCGATCTGCGTAATCTACGCGCGCGACTGCTGTCGCGAGGTACGGCGAAAAGAGGTTGGCTAATGTAACGTTTGTCGTCGGCGCGAAGTAGGCTGGCACGCTCGAGCGAAAATAACGAGCAGCCTTAACTGATTAAAATGGCCTAGATACTGCGAAATGGAATCCCGAAATGCGTTTCACCGTATGCGCAACGGTACTGTACATTTCACTCTTTTTTTCTTATTTATTTATAGACCTTTTTTTTTCTCTCGTTGCGCTAGAAAAGCGCAGCCGTAATTTATCGTCGGTGTAACCTGTGTATTCGCTCGTCGGGCGTTCTTCGAAAGGCGAAAGACTTTTCTACGCTGGTGCGATTGATTATGACTTTGACGCGACACGCCGATTGGAAATTCATCCCGGGCGTAGAAGCTGCTTTTACATGGGACTGAGTCGAGGTGTATTTCTTACATTGGTAGAATTATTTATGTAGAACCAAGATATATATTTTGGCGGTACGTTTAAAACAATGATAGCATTATACGAACGCGTCAGATTTCCCATTAAAGAGATCCATGGATGCTCCGATGTAAATACTAAATATTTATATAATTTTATTAGACTGACAAATTGTTCGTTATAAATACGTAAATGGTATTCACTGGGTGTCAAAGAAATTTGAATGCGTGCACTAGATCGGCGATATGATTAGAAACGCATTTGATATTTATGTTGGTTATTAAAAATCGAATGATCCCAGGAATCCATTTTTAATGCTTCGGTACAGTCATTCAATTAATTATTTGCCGTTTCGATTTCATGACTGTCAAGTGACCGTTTCGATTAGGTTTCACATGATTTTACCTTGACAGTCGAATCTGGTCAAGTGTATCTCAATCGAAACACCCCGTATATCCTAGTCCGTTATACGTTAATTTATGGACTCGGTATTTCACCCCGATTAGGAAGGTTTTACGTACTTTGGTGGAGTGCAAGCACCCCATGACCTTCACAGAGTAAACGCAACGTGTCCAATGTCAAGGATAGCGTAACATAACCTATGTCGACGGCGCTTAGAGCTGCCTCGGCGAAATTTGTAGCGCTCCGGTGAAGGAAACATTTAGTCCCGAGAGTCGCACGGGATACGGCCGGTAACAAAGGGCAGTTAAAAGTCGTGGGAGAGACGCATCAATTTTGCGTGGTTCCTCCAGTCCGTGGCGCGAATACGTAGAGTGCCGGAGTGCTTGCCAAAAAATACAGCAGTTCCATTATTCCTTTTTGACAAGACCTCCGCGCGCCGTCAGCAGGATTTCCACGGTGGCAACTGGAACCCACGATATTCGCATACAGACGCCCTACCAAAGCTACCGCAGCATTTCGAAGTATAAAAACGAAATACCAGCACATTTTCCAGCTCACATTGATACCCACGTTACGTCTCTAACCTACATGATAGGCCTATCGTGTCGGCCCATAGGCAAGCGAGTGGCCGGGAAATAGAAATCCTCACCGGCTATCGCACCGAGTAGCCAATGTATCACAGCTATGCTACGAGTCAACGCGTTCGCTGCTCTCTGCGTGCATATCTGTCTCTCTCGCTCTCATTCTCACCGAAAATCCCTCGAATTCACTCCTGCCGTATAGCCGACGTGAAATCGGTGAAATATACTTCCAGGAAGTAGGTGGCTCGGGATCATCGGCCCTTACGGCTATTTCAGTTATTTTGCAGCATGCAGCTATTTTAAATATATATTATAGGGTAGACGCAGATAAGCGTGCGCCACGAGACGAAGGATGGAGGGAGATCGAGAAACGGGCAGAGTCAATGAAGGAAAGAGACAAGAGCTAGTAAGAGAGGGGTTGATATTTATAGACAGGCCCGTCGTCGTCGGCGTCGACAGTCTTGAGTCTTGACTCTTGGTGAAGTTCTGGGAGGGGTGGCACCCTCCTGTTCTCGACTCCTCTCTGTTAAAGGAATTTCCTATGATTAGAATGAGTATTTCTATACAGCGCTCTGATCTCCGCCTATATGTGTCTACGCCAAGAATAATCCACCAAGTCTGGTCTGGTCTCCGTTCAGGCAAACGCGTCCTCCTCGGGCTCGATAGACCCAACCAAAAAATCAGTACAGGTTTACACACTCGGACACGCAGAAAGATCGTCCTTCCGAACACCGAATCTCCTCTCGGCTCCTCCGCTACGATCCTCCTACGGCCCAGACTCTCTTCTCGCAATCGGATCGTCTCTCAAGCCCCCTCTCCGTATCTCCTCGGTGCTCCCGTCCTTACTGCTCTCTCTCTCTCTCTCTCTCTCTCTCTCTCTCATTCTTTTTCCTAACTCTTTTACTCTCCTCTCTTCTTAACTCGATGCCGCCATTCACCCGCGACCGACACGCGCGATCCGTTCCACGACCTCTCGGTGCCTTAGTGCCGGACCACCGCCTATCCTGGACCTGCTCCACCTCTTCCTACGATCTTTACGCCACTTACCATTCGATCGGGCTCACCAGTCACCGAACCTCCTTCTTAGGATCCTCGTGATCCTCCTCGAGGAAATCGGGTACCGGCGTCCTATGTTCTTGCTGGAGGCAGGGACACGCAATGCGGACCTGACTCGGGTCACCGTTTCTTTACGGTACCATCGTCAGACCCGGAGCAAGAGGAGGATCAAAACAATCAAAGACGAAGAAGCGTGGTAGGAGAGCATTCTTTTGCTTGTATAGAGACGGACGTGCGTCCTTATTTTTCAGCTTTGTGTCTCTTCACGGTCACTTACGACAGCACGAGCTACCGGTCCACGAATTATCTCTAGCGTGGAAAGAAGTCGGACGCACTCTTCCAGAAATAACTGTAAGGACCAATCGAACTTGGGATAGCGAAGGATGTGAGTAAATAATTACTCTGTTCGTTGTGGCTAATACTTTTTTTTTTTTTTTTTTTCAGGATGAGCCTCCCGATCGACCTTGAAAACAACGCGCAATTGCATTTCTGTCGCACGGCTCGAAGTACGTATGCTTCGTTTACATTCGACGCATATTCTTTACACGTGGTATAATGGCAATAATTAACTGCTGGTACAAAGAGCAGCGATTACTTCATACGGATTGCGTCAGTGACGTTGGACTTGGGTATTGGATCCGGACGGGACAATTAATACCATAGTCGTATAATGGTACGGTCAATGGCACATTAGTAACAATTAGTATTCATCGATGGTGTTAACGTTGAAAAGGGTATGAGATTTCGCAAAGATGCTCCTTTTCAAAATAACATCAAATATCAATAGCCTCCGCTTGGCTTGACGCAAGTACCAAAGCGTCATGGCATAAATTGCGCCAAGTTTAAATACGACGCGTCATTACCCTCTCCCGTCGCTGGAATCAAATTCACTAAATAGGTAAGATCCTCCGGTCGCCAACGTAACCGAATCAAGTTTCAATTATTATAATTTTGTGAATAATAATTTTTCAAATCTTTTATACAGGATCTCCACCTTAAAAAAGGTAAATCTGGGTTGACGCAGGCGAAGACCCCGATGGATCTGCATTGAACGACCAATGTGGACGTCACCTTGGAATACGTATACATAAATATAAAAATTTGTCTGGGTAAAAAAAATACCAGAAGCCCAACAAATAAAATATCAGCTGCAGACGGACGCAACTGTCCGGTCCTGCCACCAGGTGCATCAACGGAAAGTCGTGGCTTCCTTCGACTAATTTACTTCTTTGGCTTAAGGAAGGGGATGAAAAAATGGATTGTTATGTTTAACCCCATGGTTTTCGAATAAACATACGCAGTGGGTAGTTTGGAATCCAGAAAGATATTTGTGTCTCCAAACTCGTGGAACGGAGTGCACTGTTCAGCCTTTAAGATGCTTTCCAAATATTTTATTAATATTTCAATTTTTTTCTCTCCGCTCCGTTCTCGTAGTCCAAAAAATTCAGGAAGACAGCTAGGACCTTTCTCATCTGGCGGGTGAGCCGAGAGAGATAAATTCCTGGATAAAAGGGGCGAGTTCACAGCGTAGAAGTAACCCCTTGAAAATCCTCAAGTCTATTCTCAAGATATCGAAGGCGGAAATACACTGCGGGCAATCTAGCAGCAGCAGCGGTCGACGTAGTTTATGTCACAAACTATGTCATGATGATTATCATAGTGGCCTGTCTGTATACACACGAAGCGTCATCGATATTCCAGCAATTAGTTGGTGGCCCCATCGACGACAGAGATTACCAATAATCATTAGAGACCCTCGAGGAGATTCGCCACGGCTTATTCGTCTCGCGCAGCGTTGACTGGAACGATGGAAACGGGGCTTAAAGCGCGGGATTATTGGCAACGTTGCGTAGCTGCGCTCTGCAGCTCTGCCCGAGAGTTCACCCCGCGCGTGCTGTCTCCCTCTCTCTCTCTCTCCCCTACTCTCCTGCTACTCCTCTTTCTCTTCTCTTCCAGACTGCTCACTCCTTTGCCCTCTCTCTTATCTCTCCTTCTCGCTCTCTCGGCTCCTCACCACCGGTCTCACAATCTCTTTCTTGTATACTCCAGCTCTCACTCTCACTCCATATCCCTGGCCCTCTCTCCACGCCAGAATCCTAACCCCAAACCTAAACCCGCCACCCCTGTTATATTCCACCCGAGAGAGGCTACTCGCTTCTCTCTTCAGACTCTTCGCTATACGTAGCACCAAGCTGTAACTTCTCTCTCGTGCCGTCTCTCTCGCTCCGCCGCTCGATCCGCTCGAGCCGTCTCGCTCCTTCCTCAGCGGCCTGAGCCCCTTCGGTCTCCGTAGAGGCCGCAGCGCCCGTAACCACCATAGCCCTGCTAGTCCCCATAGCCCCCGTCGCGTCGCGCTCCTACTTCTCCTGAAGTCCCCTAACCGCCCCACTCCCTGATACCACGCCATTTTGCTCCTCACCCGGCAAGGGCGACAATGCTAATACACTGTGCTCCTTTGTGCTCTCTACTAATAATTATATGGCTCTGAATGTCGCTCGGCGGGCAGTATGCCACTTGAAATCAAATAATCGTCCCTGCTGGTAATTGGATCGGGCATTGCAGCGTAGAGCAGATTGCGCACGGCAGATTGCAGCTTGAACCTAACCGCGCAGTCCGGGACTCTTATAGGTACGTTTACATGCTCTATTCCTAGAATCGTTTGCTCGGATGGAAGGTTCTAGAATCATTTTGCGATAGGCGATGATAGTCGCTGTTGGAAGACGCTGGGAACTGGTTCTTGCGTGGCTTCTCTCCCACGGGGTTGACGGAACTTCTGCTACCCCATCGTCGTTAAGCAGGACTCCTGTAAATCTTCACCGAAGGAAATATCACGCGGTGTACGGTTCTCATTCGCTCCCTGAGAAACGTTAGATGCTCGTCGTTCGATTAGGTAAACCTAACCTCTTGAACTGTCAGTCGTGGACTGCAGTGCTATCGATGGAAAATTTCCAAGGGTTTCGAGCATTCCGTAAAAGAGGTTAGGATCCTCCGTACCGCTAACCACGTACTTCGTACGGTAACTGGAACAAAGCCCACTCTCAGAAGCGACCAGCACCGCGCTAGTTGAATGGGAAGTTTGAAGCTTAGGAGGGGGCGTCAGTCGACGGATGGAGTGCTTGAATCATCCCTTGCTACTAAACATCCCCTATTCTGAAGCGGGACTTTCGACGGTGCCCTCGTGTTTGTCTATAGGGTGTCCGCAAGAGGTACACACAGAGCTACTGTGCTCGTACCAACCCTTAAGGAATATACCGAGCAATGGCGTATAGTTGGCACTCGTGAACGATCTTCCTCTAAATGAAAATACATCTCTAATACTTCCGACCACTCGGTATATCTCACTACTGCTTCTCTTTTGTATTACGTTATTCGTGTTAGCCTCCGAGTATAAACGAGTCACGCGCAACCCAACTGATTCACCTCTCTGCGATCTATTATATTCGCTAATGCTCGAATCATCCCTTGAGATTGAGCATCCCTTTTTTTACGAGGTGACGCTGATCCTTTATATATTGGTTATAGCTGTATGTACCGTATTGGGGATATATTATTGACTGGGAGAGTTATTGCGAACGTAGAAGAATATTTTATTATGTTGCGCCGTGCTAGATCTTCGTAACTACACGATTCTTTCAATTGATAACGTTAGAACCTACTCGGGATTACCTGGCTGTGACCGCACTCTTCCGATTCGCCATTATTTTATCCTCGGGCCAAAAAGAACATTCTGAATTATATTATATATTTAAATTGCAGGTCAAGAATAACATCCTGCCGTATATGTCTCTCCCTCTACTACGACTCGTACGCTGCTGCAACCTTGCGACCGCTGCCGCCGACTGACGGACTGACGCAATGACGACGATTTGTAAATAAACTTCGAGGCTCGCTCGAGCGACAGCACCGAGCTAGAGTCCGCTCGTCCGCAACTACTGCGAACGAGATATGGTGACAGACATCCCTCAAATAAAATCCACACGACGCCTGTCCTTCATTCTGCAGACGTAGTAATTTATGTGCAAGTACGTACTCGTATTATACGTACGTAATATAACCATAGTACAGGTTAGACAAATGACACCTAATATCGTCAATTCGTCTATTTTGTGTGTGACGAAAAATTATGGTATACTTTATACATTATTTAACATGCCCTTGTACATTATTCAAGCAGTTCGTTACAAAGTTATAAACGTCAGCTTGACTTCGGATTCCTGCAGTCAAAACACCCGGCCGAGCGTTGTCACATTTTGACGTCGTCAGTCGGGAAACTGTCCTGCGTGTAATGCGCATGCGCACGTGCGGCCATTGCGAAATGTTTCTGGAGTTATTACTTGCGGACGAAATCGTGCAAGAGCACGTTGCGTCTCGCACTCACAGTGGGTAGAAGCTTTGACACGACTGAAATCGTTTTTACCTGTCAAGGTCTGACACTGTGGTTTTCAGCAACGGCCGCTCTATGGTCGCAAGCTATCACCTAGGATGGTATCAAGAAATCACTGGTCCTTTTGAGGTTATGTTTAATGTACGAAGGAAACGAGGCTCGTCTTCTGTCCTCCTGTAAGTCGCTCGACATGGGTATTTATTATTATTGAGTATAAGAGTATTATATTATTGTCACCTTGACTCGTTTCTCCCTGCCTAATGTTATCTTTATAGCGGTGCGCCACAATGGAATTACTCAGTTGCATGGGCACATTACCCAGGCAAATCGGCGTCACGCGCTCGTTCGTCGATTAGCATTATAAGCCAGCGATAACATTTGTTGCAAATTGAATTTATACGAACGTTTATACCTGCTTATCAGAACGCAATAGAAACGCGGCTGAAACTACACGCATTGCAGCGCAATTATCTTTCGTGGATTGAGTAAAGACGTGAATTGCACTTGGTCTAGGCTTACCATTGGCTCAAGGAGAGACCGGACGCCTCGAAAGAAGCTCTGGACAGTTTCTCATGCAAATCATGACGACAGTATAGGAAACTCTAGATCATCCTAAGAAGCTAAGGTCCAAAGCGTAGTTCAAAATTCAGTATGTCATAGTTATATCTAATAACGATTTTATTTGGAGAAAAAAAACAGTTTTTTTTTTCAGAATGAGCACACAAATCCAAAAATCGAGTCCATAGAAAATATTCATTCATTTCGAGAAGCCCGTACCTCGACAAGTTCAAAGGCATAGCTTTACATGACCTGGGGCCACAGGTACCTCATCCTGTACTTGCGACCTTGGCAGGTTAGTCCCTGACGTTCCCGATTTTATTGTCACACAGATATTCTCCATAAACGTTTTCCCAGACGAGTCGACGATTCTGCGGCCTTGCGGCTGCAACAGCAAATTGCTTGGCAGCCTTGGAATTTCAAGGAACGGATAAAGCCATTTGCCTGCTCGGTACGGAGTTCGTATTTAAGGGAGCCGACAGGTAGAGAAAAAAAGAAGAACGTACCGTTATACTTTTTTCCTTGTCTTCCTGGACGAACCTTTTGGACTACCGTCGACCGACTACAACCGCCCGAAGGATTTTCTTCCTTGAAAATTTTAAGAGTTTCGACACTCCACGAGAATTCGTCAAAATTCCTCAACTACGTCCACTTCGAGTTACCTACCAAAATCGAACCAGACTTTAGCTCTACCTCATGCCATATATCATTTGCATACATCTTATCTTCTACTTATAGACGCAGAAACGTCACGCAGTGACATTGCACCTTATGATAATTATACGTTTATTGCATTTTCATGCGAAAACACGTGCAGCCATCCCGTACTGCTCGCTACAGCGAATTCCGAACACGAAGGAGTTATGGTCTCGGTATGCCTAAAGGAGAGTGCATTATAACCGATGGCATTGCTGTTGCAACACCAGTGCAACGAATCAATAGCAGCACCGAATGAAATCCTTCCATGAAGCGAAAACCCTGACGTTCCACATTCCAGCCTTTACTCCTGACATCTAAACCACCCTATGTAATCTCCAGGCACTATTGTGCCCAACCCCAAAAGTCGCAAGCACGCCATCACTTCCGTCCGAGCATATTAATCTACCGCGCACCTTTTAGACGTCACGGTGAAAAGCATGCGCTATTTACACGTGTCACGAACGTGCTGGGTACAAGGTCGAAAGTCAATTATACGCTCATCGTGCAATGGTCAGACAACGAGTTGCCAGCCAGTGTCACCAGCTCGCTGGCAACTGAAAATACATTTAATTTCCAATCAATGAGGACGCTTGAGATGAGTGTATTGTGATGCATCTATCCTACATATATACATATATATATATATATATATATATATATATAGGCTGTCTACATTCGCACAGCAGCCGTACCGGGATGACTCGCGAGAGCTGCGAGCCATTCTCAATTATCGGAAAGAACGTGGTGTAAAAGAAAAAGGCTGGGAATGAATAAATAAAAGGGACGTGGCAACCATGGTCTGGTGAGTTGTACGCCACTGCAGCGGCCGACCGAGTCAGAGTGAGTAGTGAGCAGTGACTGAGTGCGTGAGCGTCGAGCGAGTGAGTGAGCGAGCGAGTGGGTGAGTGGATGAGTGAGTGAACTATTGGTACGGAGAAGGTAGTAGTGAGCTCTCGCGCGTGCGTGCCAAAGGGAGAGAGAATGTTGGGGGTTCGTTAAGGCAAGAGAAAGAAGAGCCGAGGGAGAGCCGTTCAGGCTGTGGGAGGGTTCAGGGTGTAAGAGGTTAGAAGCGGAAAGCGAGCCTCTGCTCAGGCACGGATTTTAGGCGTGGGACAAGGGAAGCTCGCCGAGGGAGGAAAGAGTGGGAGAGGGTGAAAGGGGACTGGGCTAGAGGAGAGTGAGAGTGAGTAACAGGGAAGGGGGGAGAGGGGGAGAGGGAGAGAGAGAGAGAGAGAGGTCTGATTATGAGGCCTTTCGACAAAGTGTCCAAGTTCTCCATTATCGATCAGCTGTACGTAGATATGATTTCGATACGATTCGCTCCCTTGACGAATATCGATGTAGATCTTCACGGATCGATGCACCATTTAAATCCCGAATTCCTGTCCCTCTTATGTCAGGCACCTGTAATCCCTGTTTTTGACTATTAAACTGTTGGTCCGCTACCAGCTTCAGGGATCAGGGTGAGAACCATTTGACTTGGGGTGTCTCATGAGAGACTTCTGTAAAGGGCGCTGTTATACGAGACGGGTAAAAAATGTATCACGCTTCTGAAAACTCGATACAGATCCCTAGAAGATCTTTGGTGGCTGGAATTGGGTAGAAGGGTTACTCTGTTCTTTTGAGTGTGTACTATTTATTGTATTTTTATTAGGGTTCGAGCGTCATTGATATGGAAAAAATAAATCTTTGAGAACTCATTTGATATTGATACCAACGTCAATGATATTAAATGACACCGTGCGCTATAACTCATTCTGGGCTAGTCGCTACATTCTGATAAGAGGACTTTCTTATCAGATAGAAAGTCCTGAGATTGAACTTATACCAGTAGGGAGCGTCAAATTTCATAGTGACGCAGTACGATTGTATACAGAGAACGTGAATGTGGTTACTCGCGCGGCCTTTTGGCGGCTGTCGTCCGGTTGATATTTGGTATTTTGTTTCAAATGATATCGACGTCATTATTTGCTCATTGCTCCGTTAAGATGTCGCCACTGTTTGTTTATGCCTCGATAGTATTGGCTATCGGAATGACTCGATTCACGTGATAATTTATAGAGCGTAATTCTGATTTAGTTTGAACTCGGGAAGAGGTGAGGCAGCATGGTCTGTTACTATAAGCCAAACAGCGTGTGGACTTGTAACGTTAAGGCTACATGACGAGACCGTTTCATAAGTTTATTTGTACGTTTTCAAATGCACGGTGAAAGAGAGAGAGAGAGAGAGAGAGATCCACTTTGAAAGCGATCGATTTCAGCACAGCTCTTTCTCGGCTTTCTTATACTCTCTAGCGAATCTTTGTGGTCGCGCACTTGGCTTATTATTATTCCTCGTTACCGGATCGGCCTTATTCGCTACTCTCTAAAGTACCGTTCCGCACACAGAAGGGAAATACACACTGCGCTGTGTCTGACAAAGGCGTGGATGACGGGAAGAAGGAAAAAGGATGATCTCGTGCGATCGTTATTTCCGGTCGAAGCTCTCTCGTTGACGTGGTCGGTGAAGTTGCTAGTCAGATGGAGGAGCAGGGGTAACGAGATGAAGAGAGTTTGGAGCTCGTAGAAGGTGAGTGGAATATACGGAAAAGTCAACGTAGACGACTAGGGAATTCCCTGCTGAAAATGCAGGCAGGTTAACCCTGTCCAAGCGTCCCCTAAAATAATTGATATGGCTTACAGTTAACTGTTATAAAAGTTCCCGTTGGGGAGACTGTGCTTGGGTTTTATGTATAGGGGCAAAATAATGATTTATTGAATATTTACAGCGACGAGCCACTACGACTGTCTTGTATTTAATAGATATTAATATGTAAAGATAAAAGTCACAAAAGGAAGTTACACCACGCTATTATATCCTTGAAGAGTGTCTCCCAGACGAGCAGGATGGCCGTGATTGTCTGAAACGTGCGCATACGTCGCATTCTAAACATCCGTGCCACGTAACGAGGACTCGGAGGCGCAGCCCTCTCCCGCATCCTTCTTCACTCTGTTGTATAGTTACTAGGTACGTGGTAGAGAGCCACACGGTGGAGAGCATGTGCGTAGCTACGAGCGTACGTACTCTCAGTCAGCCGTCGGTCTCACAGGGGAGACCTTTCGGCACAGAAGATCGCGGCCGGGGAGAGCTCCGATTCGGCATTCTCGATCCGCACCTGGACCGTGCGGACACGTAGGGACGCTTGCACCTACCAACGTTCCTAATAGATGCGTACGTTTATATATGTATAATAGAAAGCCACCACGTGAGCCCTGGCATTACCCAAACGCCATAGTCGCGGGAACCAGGGAAGACAGCCTCGAGAAACAACCAGAAGCATAGACGACAGGGAACCGGAGGACGCAGAGAGACGGGATGGACGGATTCTTCGGATCGTTCGGCTAACATATACACCGACGGAAGTGGCGGCGGTGTCAGTGGCGTCGACGACGGCGGCACAGGGGGACCTTTCCCTCTGGCAGAAGGCTCCACCCACACGCCAGCAACGAGCGCACAATCTGGCAACAGTGGCTCGCTATAACCGATATTGTGGCCGTGGATTGAATGGAGGGGAACTAGCTCAGGTCAAACCTCCCCACCCCCGACTCCGACTCGGGACGCGGCTCCACAAGCCCTCGGGTCCCGTCGGTACCGACCCCACGGCCTCTTTGGCAGGAACCCCCCCACTCTCTCAGGAAGGTTACCCCCACTCTCGTTACGCTGGCAACCAGCTTGCGTTCAGAACTCGTGCTCACGTTAGTATTTGTGAGTCGGTGGGCTCGTGCGCGTGTCCCTCGTAGCTCTGTAGCAGCGTGTCGCAACTCCCACCACACCGGTAACACCAGCACAAGAGCACATCAGCACGCAGCAGACCAACAGCACAGGGGACAGACACACGCCGTAGGCAGCGGGTACACACAACGCCGCGTTGGCTTCAACAACCTCTCACTAGACAGTATTACTTTCAACCGTTTAGCGCGCGCGGCCAATGCTACCCGGAGAGTACCCCGGTACCTATTCGTAAACACAATAGTCAAATGTTGCCGCTGCCGTCGACGACGACAGTTCGCTGCTGCTGTCGCTCGCATCGTTGCGTTCCTTGAGAACGCTCGTGATATATTGGGACTGGTTGTGCGACTATCAGTTATAAATACAGAGAGAGAAAAAGAGAGAGAATAATTTGAGGTGCGATTTTGACATTTGTCCAGAGAGAAGACATCATAGAGGTTTTGTCTTGTGGGAGCGAGTACGGACGCGATAAGGCTCCGGCTAGGCTTATATAGTGTTTTTAACACCACCATACAAGTTTTAGTTATTGGTGAATTAACTTATTGCTGGATCCTCGGTGACTCGCTCCTTGGGAACTTGTGTTTTCTTCTATTGTCGTATGTTATCCTTGCTTGACGTCATTCTTATTTGATAACTATGACAAGGTGATGAATAAACGTAACCGAAGGCACTGGGAAATCGATCGTTTCTCTTACCGTGATGGATGATGACAATTGACACAGTTATGGCAGTTGTGTGCTATGTGACAAGTGCTCTTTACACCCTCATTGGATTATAACATTAAACCTGTGCTGCGACTTTTGCCAAGGATAATGCGACATCTTAACGATTACTAAGGTAAAGAATCCGAAATGTCACGTCTTTTATCAGACTCAAAAATATCATTACTTTCATAATCTGTGTCAGACAGTAAAGGAATATGTAGAGACGGAGAATGAAATTCCTTGAGAGGTAGAGAAACATTGCTCGCGTGGTGTGTCTGCCAGAGAGAGTGTACCTATACCTACCTACTACGATCTACGCTACGATCGTACGTGAGCCATAGGCTATTGCCTGACACGCGAGATATTTACATCCTCAGACACATACCGGCTGATTTATGTCTAGTTGGACTGTTTGATCTGACCGCCGTCATTTTGACACAGTGTATCAAACTCATTTAGTTGACTAATTTTTTAATAATTATGACGATAAATTAACTCCTCAAAATTAACCTTGATTTTATTCATATCGGCATTCTCTCGTTATCATTGATATTTTTTTCAAGTGACAATATAACCTCGTATCGTTATCTATAAGTGCTTCGTCATTTATTTATTTTTTTTTTTCGCGAATATTCGTTAATCGTGTTACGCTGTCCGGAAATAAAATGACGCCCTCCTGCACGTCTGGCTTCCTCAATCTTACCTGAGCTTTAACGACTCTGAATTGCTGCTTTTGAGTGCTCTAGCTATACGCTACCAAGGAAAGGTATACCTACCTACCTACCTACCTACCTACCTACCTTCTCTCGGATCTCTCTGGCAGAGCGCTTTCACAACGGGTGATTGTTCTCTAAAGATGTGTCATTCCCGTGCAGCGTTTCTCGAGCGATCACAGCCAGAGGGCCTCGCTGTCGAGACAGAGAGACATAAGAGAAATACCAGAAAGTCACGTCCACCATGATGTTTGATCGTCTGTAGGTCACGACACTCTATACTCGGCATATTAGTCTGTTTATTCCGTGCAGTCAACGTGGAAGCGTATGGTTAATACTCCTCGAAGAAGTATCGTAATTTGAAATCGTTTGTCTCACGTTAAACTATTTTATCGTGCTGATACATTATGAAAATTATTTTTCATTTATCTCTATCGCGTTACAATCTACCGGTTACGTCAAAGAGGTTGTCTTACGCGATAAGCGTGTTATCGCCCGTAGAGATTTTTCATGGATTTCATATTTAGATCACTCGTATTCTTCAAGTTTCAATTAATCTCTGCGCAAGGTTTACTCAAGATTTTAAAACGGTGTAACAGCTTGAACTTCTTTCTCCTCGTGACAGCTCAATTAATCGGACTGTTGGGGTAATATTCTCTTGTATCGAATTCTAGTGACTTCAATACAAGACAGTTATCAGTGAAGGTAAATGGAAACACGTGACGTAAATGAGGGGAACCTGTAATATCTTCATAGAGATAAGAATAATCAATACAGAATTTTTCATCGAGTCGTTATCGGCCGTTCCAAAGGTAAATATACGGATTTAAATTTATGTCGAGAGTTCTATAACGTCAGTTATATTCATCAAGGTAATCGAAGCGACTCGAAATACACGGTATTGCATTATCTTCGTTACGAGGAACTGTCGTAACCGTGTAATTATGACATTGTCTCGGAAAGCCGGACGTTTCAAAGATGCGAATAACTCAGGATTATCGCCATTGATTAGTACGATATACAGTATCTAGATTAACGGATAGTCGATCGACAGTGAACCCTCTCAATATTATACTGCATACGTCCCCTCTATATGGATCACTAATCAGAACTAGATCGGTATATCGAATACCGATAGTTCCTCTAGTAGCTATACACTCGATGATATTACCACCCTGTAACTACTCTACCAGAGAGTATAGCATCCAGCTATGCGTCAAGCTTTCACTTAACGCCGGTAGGGAGTCGTCGTGACGATCGCGCGCACTCCCAAGCATTATTAGAAACGCTCCGTAGGTAGAGTTAAGGCGCGTTTTAACACGCGCCTTCCCCGTGTGGATTTGTTAAACGTTTCTAATCTCAATACAGGAGCGGTGGCGCAATATCAGAAATAGGTTTGTTAAAATAAGCGTACGCTCGATGCGCGTTCCGCGGTGCCAGGGATGAATTGGTGGGGACTTTCCTGGCTGAATTGGTGGGGATAACTCGGATGCTAGACTTCTGCCACTCTGGCTTGACTCGCCCTCAAACAAGGACGTTTCCCACTCAAGATGCCTTCGCGTTTGCGTAGTATCGTCCCTTGCTCACTTCCTTCCTTCACATTTAAGCTACATATTTATCTTCTCGTATCCTGCCTACCAGACTCTCCAACTGTAGTCTCTTTGTCCTAGCTCGGACGAAGTAGCTTCTGGTTCGAATACAGGAGGAACTTGGATGCCGTATTACCATGAGATTTACAAGTTCAGAAATCGGTCGGTAGTACGGTGTCTAAATTATATTTGAATTAGGGTTAATTCATCGTCGGAAACTATCAGTACCGTACAATGGAATTGATGAGAGAAGGTTTTCAGACAGCCTTGTCGCGATAAGAAGATACGTATCGCCAATGGTGGACTCGGAGATTTTACGAAATCGATAAATCTGTTTATCGGGCTGAGCAAATATCGGTGTCCCAAAAAAATCTTTTACGTCGATTGCGCACTATACCACGCCGCTCTAAACGTAGAACATCTCAAGGACGTCACCAGCGCGCTGTGACATGGACGTTGAAATTATGTCAGAGAAGCAACCGGGACATTATAAATTCACCTTGGCACATTGGTGCACGACCGATTGCGCATGGATTCTTGACAGTTTGGCGTTACTTTTCGGCCACGCAGGTTTCACCGGTCAAGGGTATTTACGCGTTGAAGAAACGAGCAGACTGGGCAACCAATTCCGGAGATAAAATGAGCCGCCTTCGCCAAGCTTTCTTTGGACAAGGGTCGACCCACTCGGTCTCTATCGAATAGACGGAACAGACATTTTTGTTCTTCTCCCACAGTAGTTCGCCGCTAAAGCGAAGAATCCCATCAGGCCAGGAAAGGCCGCTTCTCAACGTTTTTCACGTTTTCATCTGGACAGAAGACCGCTTCCTACTTTGTGCGGTGGGCTCGGTATACGTTTCTTTTTTTTCTCCTCTCCCGATTACGATCTCCCATGATCAGAGCAAAAATTCCTCGTACGGACAATGGGCGTTTCTCGGTATCCCAAGAGGGCCTCCACTCCGTGCCTTTCCCACGTGTAGAGACAAAATCCATAGCGATGAAAAGGGGATCGCACGAGGTAACCTCCCTCTCTCGTACGAGCTTACGACAAACGTCGACTTTACCACGGAGGGACCAAGTGTACGATTGCGTAAAATTTGTATGTACACACGATAAATTCTGTTTTCAGTTACGAAACTCTGCTTTGTCAGGTACCGCGACGCCGCACAAACCGCTGACAATGGAGAATCTCCTCTGTATTGTATCCGCGTGCACGTACACGCTCTCTAGTCAAGGTGAGGGCGTAATTAAATTTTCATAACTGTCCGCTAGTTGCATAATGACGAACCAGATGGCACGACCTTATCGGCAATCCCGACTGTCCAGGGAGCATTCTCGAGTCCCGTCGCGCTCCGTACCTCCGTCAATGACACACGAGCAACGTTATAGATACACCGAGCGACAGCCACCACGTGGCAACGTCGCGACGCTCTTATCTAAAGTCTGTCGACTGTCAGCTGTCATTTCCACTATATTATGTGCTCGCCTGGCGCGCGCGCTGGCTTAACGCGTCCACGCTACACCTGACCTACGAGTTCCTTCTCGCAGCCGCGTACAAACCCTCCCTCCCACCTACTTCTCCCCCTTCACCACCTTCTCACCAATATATAGCATACTTCCGCACCGCGGATCGCTATAGCCAACAGGAGCTGCCTTCGAGCGTGACTCTCTTCCTTCTTGAATCTCCGACTCTGCGCTTCTTCCTTCGCTATACCGCATCGCACTAAGTACACACACATATATATATATACCTCCATAAAATTTTTCCTCCTTACGTCTCTCAGTCCTTTCATACCTTTTTCTTCTCATTCAGCAACTATGTCTTTCGACGAGCAACGACTTTTTTTTCTCTTTCCTCTATATCCTTCGCCACTGTCATTCTCCCAAGTAGATTCTCGCACGTCCAACATTTCCCACTTGTTCCTCGGTCGTTCTCGTTACCGGAACAGCGAGTGCATGCTGCATAAGTACGTATAATATACCCGCGCTCGTTCTATACTCTCATTAGGTACTGCCAGGCACATAGTTTGTAAACGAAATACCGTGTCCGCAGTACGTCAGTCACGGCGCTCGTATTGGTAAGGATTTATGTAACGGTCAAGGGGGGTTAAGAGTTCTGAGAAAGTTTTCAGAGCGGCGATTGGCGCAGCTGTACGACGGCGGGTGGCTTCCGTGATTTCGTCATCCCGAACGATCGGTTCCCCCCCCCCCCCCTCTCC